ACAGAAGAGCCTAGAAAAAAATCGAAAAATGATATACGTCGTTGATGAGAAAGTAAGTCCGTGTATTGGTCGACTCTTATGTGTTTCAAGGATGGTGATCAGCGTCGTCTTTTGCCATTTACGCGCGCTGCATGTATAAGCAATGGCGCGCGCCAAGCGACTCGCTCATCACAACGAAGGAAAAATAAGATATTATGCAAATAGCATCATACGTGTCAATTTTCCCGTAATTCCATTTGACCTTACAAGCTGCTGCTGCACAGTTCATTCATGTTAAAGCGAGGCACGTTGCATTGCGCGCGTTGCACAATCGTTGAATCATTCAGCGAGACGAGCAATATATTGTCGTCTATACTTAAAAGGGAATTAACAGTTCTCGTCGAGATGCTATACATACGATTCTCTATAAACTGATTGATTTCGATAGCGCGAATAGATTTTACACGCCTCAACGGCGTTAAATAGATATTCGATCGAAGCAGTCACAACAATCGAAAACTAGAACAGATCTACTTCCGCATAATGCGTTCGTTGCTCTTGAACCGATAACGTCGCGCGCGGCGAGACTTGGCCGCCTGCACCGCCGCGCGCTGCGTCTCATGCCTCGACTCGTGCGAGTGCGCCGTCGCCAAGGAAAAATTAATCGAGGCACGTAACGAGAGTTCAATTTTTCCCTATTGTTATCGACTGGACTCGCGGTCTATCTGCAGCCAGATATACAGCAGCTGATAATCATTTAGGCAGTTATTGCTATTTTTTTTTACCAAAAGCGCCAGCCGTCGAGCTCGCACGAATGAGATGACGAAAAATCTCGGCTTTGGTTTGGCATTCAATGCGCGTGTTTACGGCGTGGTAATATTCGCGCGCTTATTGTATCACGTGATGGACGCGTGTAGACGAGCTGATCTCGCTCGGCTCTCGGGCTCGCGTCTTTATCTTCATCTTTCCACTTGAATCTGTGTTTAGAAAGACCTGAGCAGAAATGATAGTCGTGCCCTCTGCTCCTTAAGGGTCAAACATAATATCGTAGCAATACTTTTACTTGGAATTGCATTGCTGCGTACGATTTTATTCCAAAATCGCAAGGCCAGTTACGTGGAATGCGACGCCTTTAATTTATCGATAATCGAAGTTTAAAAAGTGAGACTTTTTACGCATTAATTCCATTTCAAGCACGAGAAATCGATAACGTCACGAGTCTCTGATCTTGGGTTAGTACAATCAGTAAAGACGTCGAAGACGTAAAAATCGTCAACAATCGCGCGCGAAAAAAACTTGAAATCGAAGCTATCGCTTTCGGCGTCGTATGCTAAATTTGCTTAATCGACATACACCTACTCTGTCATCGGGTACGTGCACTGGCATATTTTTTCTGGCTATATTTAAAGTTGCTCGGCTCTTGTACGATCGAGATCTGCCTCGGAGGCTCGAGCGCATCGATCGAATTTTAAGAAGCTCAATTGTACACTTGCTCGGCGTTGATCGCTCAATTTTCTTTCTCTCCCTCTCTTCTGCTTCACCGTTGTTACGTCTAACGTCCGAAATGAATCGATCGACGCTTTGACAGTTGCAATGAGTCCAGAGTCCAGAATCGATAAGATGCAAAAGTTGGATAAAAATTACGCGTCGACTAGTACAGATAACCAGGCTTATCGCGCACCCATATCTAGGGAAACACAAAGGAAAAAAAGTCGCGCACATGTGGCGTCGTTTCCATCGTCTGCTTTCTGATAAATGTGCACCGCGCGAGCCGTCGCTTCGGGGTATTTTCCAGTCGGACGGAGGCGGCGAGCTCGGATCGACGGCGGCACTCGCGAATCACGTGCGATGAAGCGAAGGCTCGGCTGCTCGGATGCTCTCGGCGCGCGACGGGGAAATTTTGCGCGCGATATGCACTTTGTCAGCGAAATCGAGTCCACACACACATGTCACAACACAACCTTTCGAGGCGCCGAGAAATTTTTCTTCCAAACACAGCCGTCTCGTGAGAATCCGTTGCGCAATTGCAAAAGTTTACATGTTCTCCAGACGTGATCAACAAATGTATGCATCAAGAGAAGCAGCAGAAATGACAATTGGTATATAATGTTCCATGCGTGGAAACATTTGTCGAACGGGCAAATGAGTACATAACGATTCAACGATACTGCATGACTCTGATATATAAAGCTCGAATCTGTGCTATTACTCCCAGCTCGACATTTCGACTGCTCTTCCAAGTAAACTATTAAAATTTGCACACTCATTGTCCGTCTGGCACAGGCGTGTGCCAATCATATCACGCTTGCGGAGCATGAGTATTAGAATTGAATCAGCTTCGTCTGTGTGTCACAACTGCAGTCCAGACGATAAGGAAAGCCAGAATAATTATGTTACCCTCGACCAATGCGCCGTTATACATAGCTGCCTGCAATAGAGCTCGAGTCGCGTCTGCTTTCCTCAATGGTCTTTTTTTTTATATCGCAATAATGCGTCGAGCTATAATCGGAAAGGCCGATCCAAAAGTCTGCAAAAAAAATGAACATGAACTAGATTCGCGATCGACGATGGGCTCATTGAGTCTCGAGTGTTTTTCCCCAGAAAATAAAAACGGATATACTCGGGACTGTAATTATTTAGCTATCACGTGTGCTCGGTCACGTATGCAAAATGTTGATGTGCATCCCACGCGCGTGCCGATTTCAGGACTGTGTCCGTTGTACAACAGCAAACGCTCGCGATAATCGTGCCAAAACACTTGGATCCTTGAATCATATTATTGCTGCACGTTCAAAAATTCGTTCCAGCGAGGTCGTGTGCACCAATCTTATGATCATAATATTGACAAAGTTGAAATTTAAAGCGCGGAACACGCTACATTTTTTCTAATCGGTCTATTTGTGCTGTAAAGTCGCGCCAAAAACATAGATCGAACAAATATTATCTATTTTTATCGACGGTGCTTTGCGGAAAGAAAAACAATCGCTTAAATAGAAATGATTTGTGTAACCGCGTTCGTTCGATCGTCTTGCTTAAAATTGCATAATTCTCCAGGAAGACGTGTCTCAATGACCGTATGTGCGTTACAAGTTCTGCCGCGAGATAACAGAAACGCCGCCGTGCACGCGCGCGAAAAAATACCGCCGAGCATGAGCGGGGCTCGCCTACGTGACCGATGCGGCGGCGCTCGTCCTGCGTCCGATATAACTCAGAATTGGCCGCGTGCGCGCGGACGCTTTGCCCCATTTATTTCGCGCTTGCATCCGTGCTGGCACATATATATACGCTCGGTCGTTTGAAACTAATGACACATCGAGCTTCGAGCTCTTTCGGTTTCTTTCTTTGCCGAGGCCCTTTTCAAATGCACGTGAATACAAAGTCAAGTGTATAGTGTGTGCTCGCTTATTATATATATACCAGAGGAAAGTTACTCCGACAATTTCGAAGAACAGCATACATACAAAACGTGGAGGTAATTTTTTCCTCTCTTTATATCACGTTGCAGTCTATATCTAGTTTGTACGCCGAGTAAAAGTTCAACGAATGTTTTGACATGAATTTTCCAACAACCAGATGTAGATTTTTAGTCGTTTTATCGTTATCACTTTTCCCAACGCGACATGTAAATATACACTCGCATTATCGCTCACGTTTGCATTACTCGGTAAAAATTTCACACGTTCGCCGCGTTGCATCAAGCATCCACATTGCCGCTACTTTTCTTTTTCGATTCAATTTTTTTTTTTTTTCGTTCGAAGCAATTTGAAACTTTTGAAAAAAATTAGCTGACCGCTAAAAGCGCTCAATTTTCATGCACACTCTAACGAAAGAAAATAGCAAGTCGAACGAATGTTATAACCATCGCTGCAGCCGAGCGATGGCATAATTTCCGCGAGGTGTAATAAAAGAAAGACTCGAAATGCTTCAGTCGATCGGAAATGCATATATAGCCTCTTGCGGGGGTGCAACGACCCTTTCGAGCTCTAGACCAATGACTCCAAAGTACACCTGTAACTAGCGAGTATTACGAACAAAAATATCATAAGTCACTCTAGCTCGCCGCTGAAGCCCTTGAAATTTGAGTCAACGCGTGTATAATATTGGCACTAGTTATATCGAAATCCGATTAGTATTTTCATGTGCGCGCACGTGTACCCCCACCTTCGTCTCACTTCTTCCTATATTTCGCGGTGTGCGTCGGTCACACCAACACACATTAGCGTGGCCCAAAAAAAACGGAGCCCCGCTAGTACTACCTCTCACCGTCGTCACTTTTAGACTTTAGTATGATTTTGACTGTTCTCAGGTGAGCATCATCGCTGTTCAATTAAAAAACCCACTGTTTTCTCGCTCTAGTGACGCGTCGTTGAGCACGTGCACAGTGAATGGTTTGTGTGTATATGCCTCGCCGGTGAGAACTGTGGTTTTTCTCGATTTCGCAGCGTCAAAAGGAAGAACAATAATTAGACCGAGACTTTGACAGACTTTTCCCCGGTTTATTGTGCAAATTATAATTGTCTAGTCACTGCGACGATTAGATCATCGACTGAACACTGTGATTCTCGTTCATTGCACTGCCAAATCGTTGACATCAACTGCGTGCAGTTACACGAGCACTAAAAATTAGGTGAGCAGATCATTTGTTTTGACTTGTCTTGTGTCACAACATAACCTTAAATGTAGGTCAAAGGGCTGTTTGTTTTTGTTTATTCGGTTGCGCTGTCGCCTGCTCAAAGCGATGTTTATTGCAACGAAAACACAATATTTCGCATCTCAAATTGTTCGTTCGAGGCGCGATTAAATGATAAATACAATTGAACTGGTGTGAATCATAACGCGTCGAGGCGATTTTGATGCGGTTGAGGAAACGCGATATTAAATAACATCATACAGGCTGCACTTGTCGACTGTCGTGGCCTTCTTACGGTATGTAAAAACAATAACATCGATCGTGTCTACGTCTCGGGGCTTACTTATACCTCTCTCGTGTATACCTGTGTATATAATAGGCCAGGTCGTATCAGCGAGGCGTATATAGATATAGCACGGTACGTTGGTACGCGCCGAGAACCTTCCACCCCAGCCATAATAAGCATCATACCCGCGCAGCATTGCAGTGCAGTTGTCAGTGCAGCGCGAGTCAGTCCAAGGGCCTGGAGGCTTCGAGCGCGGAGCAGCGAAAAAAAAAATTACTCGGTCATCTGCCACTCGACAGTTAGAGCCGCGAGTGCAAAGAATTGATATAACAGCCGCACAAACGTTTGCAGACGTGCAGTGTAGTCCTCCGATGCGGCGACGAGGGAGGTGGAGATAAATTGAAGAGGTAGTAGGAGAAGAAACGGTCAAGCCTCAAGCCGGTTAAAATCGGGGGACTAAACGGGCATCGCCGTATTTGTTCTGCGAACGACGTGCAGGGCGTATCATAAAGAGCTTAAAAATTTGTGCGCTACGTAATTTTCTCGAAACTGTGTCGCTCAAAAGTTCGATTCTTCATTTTAAACTGACGGAATTTCCACTTTTGCCTAGCGTTGAGAGACTCTATTTTTGTTTGAAAATCATATCCTTGGTGCTTGCGAAGTTAGGTAAAGTCAAAGTGATTTTAATTTATGTGAAAATGATGAAATTTAGTGTGTGCATTGCTGAAGTAGTTTTGTAAATGTTCAAACGATTTTGCGAGCGTGAAGTTTTTAGGAAATTTCCGTTTTACAATAAAAATTTTTATTGAGTTTTCTTATCCGTTTATTAGTATATTTCATAGACTGTTGTAAAAACTTTAACTTGCAATTCAAACTTAAACTATAGCTGAGAATGTTAAAATTATAATTTAAAAAATTTATAAATTTATTGCTTCACATGATTTAATGGAATTTTTTAACATTTTTCTATTTGTTATTAATAATTAATCTGCAGCATTGGTAGAACTACCAATCACTTAAATAAAGTTATCTTTAAGCAATGGGTTATCTTGTATTTTACATTAAAATTCTTTATTGCAATTGAAAGAGTATTTCCTCTTTTTATAAGCTCATCCATTAACTTTATTTATTTGTTTGACAAATTTTACACCATATATTACTTAATTATATTCTTTCAAGTAAAAACAATTATTTAACTTATTTTTACTTCTCTATTTTCAGATTTAACTGTTGAGTTCAATCTTCAGTTGCACACTTCAGCATCATTCAGAACCCTGTGATTTTGAAAACTGCATTCATGATGACTTCATCAAGTTTTATACAGGAGGAAGAGATTATGAAAAAACCACCAACTCTGGTCAGGCGTTTTTCAGATATGTTTAAAGGTATTTATTTTATTTAAAAATCTAATAAATATTACAAGTCATTTTTTCATAAATATGAAATGAAATGATCTTCATAAATATATGAATCCAGTAGTAAAAGGACTTATTGACTCACACAAGAATGTCTATTTTTACAGATGGAGCATACAGTGGACCACCAACTCTTTTCTCACAAAAAATTCGCCACTGCTATCAGAATTTAAATTTGTTCCCATATCTGCTCTATTCATTTGAAAATTCCAAGTCTCATCCAATGGCCAAGAAAGTTAATTCAAGTATATATCTCATGAAATCAAGAGTGTTTGAACATTTCCTGTTTGTATGTTCAAATCTGATGAAGACAACTGCCAGTGAATCAAAAAGAAATTTAAAGTTGACACCTGATGCACAAATAATTGAAGAACAGAAAAAAAATATTTCTGTACTACAAAGCAACAAAGCCAAATTTTACATGAATGATAAGCCAAAAGCAAAAGCATGTCCTCTTGCACTTATTTTTGCTGTTTACCTGGCTCCTCTGATATTGGCTCTCCAAGTGATTGGTGTTTTTGCTCAAATGAGTTTAAATGGCACATACACACCTGGATACTTGTTCCTTGTATTAGCATTGGCACTTTTGGGAGCTATATCAGCAAGAGTTATGTTGCCCTGCAAAAACCGAAAAACCATCCACAGGACCAAGTCAGTGATGAGGCAAAAAGTAAAATCGAATTAGTGAGATAGTTTGCTTTTTTCATATTTTAATTCGAAACTGCATTGATCTCGGATATAATGTACATTTTTTTGCAGTCTACGTTTGTGCGCCTTCGTGATTGATTTAGATGTTAAACGTGACTACTTTCATGAAATTAAAAAACAAACGTAGATAAAAAAGGCTTTGTAAATTGCAAGATTGTTCTGAATCATTCTAATTTTCTGATGAGAGATAACTGTTTATACGAATGATTTCATAGAGAAATGCAAACATAAAAAAATAAGCTTGAGATTATTCATTTAATCGGATTTAAGCTTTGCATCGTTAGTATCGAATCGATCAAAATTTTGAAAATCTCGCGCGGTGTTAAAGACTCATGCAACAGATTAATACAGCTTTTTACAATATTTTTTCATTTACTTCGTGCTTAGCAATATTGAGAATAAAAATAAGCCAAAGTTCAAAGGTTATATTGCAACAGATAAGAAAAATTCATCTAACTTATAATAAGCGGTATAGCAATGTCTTATAAGTAATCTCTCGGATGTTTAAATTGCATGTATTTCAGTATCGACTGATAGGATAAAAAGCAACGATTAGCTTTAAGATACACGTTTATTTTCTACAGTACATAAGACTGAAAATTAATGATTATTTTAAAATACTTGTCTTGTATATAAAATGAGAGGCGAATGAAAACAAATGTTATGTTTGTCAGTTTAATAGGGTAAATTTAAGTCACTAGTTTCGTTTAATTAGCTGCATATTATCAAATAAATTTCGTTAGGGGTATTGAACATTATTTACGCAGAATGTTTATTCGTTTATTATTGTTCATTACAGAAATACAAGAATTTATATATTTATTAAAAAATAATAGCTCTTTTCACATGTTGTGCGCTGATATAGGTTTAATACTAGCAATATTAAATCTATTGATATATATTTACACGATACTCCGGTGGAAAATGTCTTTTTTTTATACAATATCACATGTTTTATGATAGCAATCAAATTTTGACTCTGAAAAAGACAATATTAAATCACATAAATTGTATAAAATACACATGCGACACTAAAAATTTATACAAGTATTAAATCGTAATACTATAATCGATATCATTAACTGTTAAATCGTAAAGAAAATTGCCGATCGAAATATTGACTATGAATAATCGTTATAATCCACAGAATTTTCTATGGAAATCAAACATTGTAACTCATATTACATTTTTTGTCGGGCAATTTTCACTACGATTTTCTAATCGAATCTGTAGCATGTATTACGTTAAAAAGGCAATGTAATGTTTAAAATATGCATTGGGGTATTTTCACCGATTAGAGTAGAAAATATTCACTACGGACTTCGATCTGAAGTATCTTCTTCGTCGTCACAAATGATAATAACTATAAGATGTTAACAACAAAGCCAACAAATTGCCAATCAGCACCAAACCCCACTGGTTGCTGCTGTAAATGCTCGAAGAATGATTATAAGGGCCAATTTTGGCTGCATAGGCAACGACGTAGGCCACGAAATTCTGCTCGTGCGTCGTGTGAAATAGATGCGCGTACGGCCCTAGAGGAAAAGAGATAAAAAATAAAATTAATTAAAAAAAAAAGGCAAAAAAAAAACATAATGAACAAAAACGATAGCCTGGCACATAGTGTCGGTTACTTCATTTAGCATACTCGCGAAAATACTTTAGGATAGTTTAGTTGTTGATTTAAAATATTAAATAAGTCATTAATCGTAAGAACGCCGATATTTACTGTAATAAATTCTTTTTGTGATATATTGCAATGAATTGTATAAAAGAAAAAACAGATCAAAAAATATATATCGAACCGAAAGATTATTCTTCGCAAAAATACACGCTGGCGTTGTTTTTTCATTCATACAAGCACCCTCGACACATTTATCTCATTGATTTTCCTTGTCATTGTGTACAGAGCTACGGACATTGAGCAAATTTCGTATAGCAAATGGAACTGATACACTCCCAATAAAAGTGATTCAAGATAAAAGAAATCATAAAGTATAAAGTATACTGACCGATTGCATAAACGGCAACGTCACCGCCACCGTGGTGCGCCTCATCCGTCACGAAAGCCGCTTGCTGGCTGTACTCGAAATCCGTCGTGTCGCTGGTCGTCGGGTCGATTCGTCGCATCTTCGTCTCCTTGCCATCCTGATACGTCTCGTAGGCTCGATTGTTGGGGCCCCCAGTGCCGTAGGACAAGGTGGTGTATGGAATACCTTCGATCTTGGAAACATCCGCTATGCCTAGGGGAAAAAATTCATTCGTGGTATTGTGGAGGATTGATAAAAAATAAACCAGACAAACCAGACTCTGTGGAATTCTGTTTGACGAGTTCTTGTGTCGTATCGCTTACCAAGAATATTTGCACCGCGATCGCTGTTGCCATTGAACGACAGGGAGTGCGTATGATCGCTGGTGACGATGACCAGAGTATCTTCGGTGTCTACCATATCGAGGGTCGCGTTTATTGCCTCGGACAGTCGAACCGTCTCGAGGAGAGCTTGAGCCGCATGGCCCCGATGGTGAGCGAAATCGATCAAACCACCTTCTACTACCAGTAAAAATCCACGCTCATTTTTTTTCAAAACTTTTAGAGCGGCCACGGTCATGTCCGCCAAGCTGGGCATCCCCTTCGGACCTTTATCCCTCTTGTAGTCCATCGATACGTGCCCGTTGGCAAATATGCCCAACAAATAATCAACTTTGTCGAAATCGACTTGAGACAGTTGATGGTTGTTTTCCACAACTTTGTACGCGGCTTGTTTCGCTTTTTTGTCCTCTTCCCAGGCGCTAATTAAGTCTCGTCCGTCGGCTCGTCTGCCAGCCCACATGTCGAGAGGATCGTTTTCCGTAGAAGATACATCGGTTCTCAGCATCTGCCTTCCTCCACCCATTATTACCTGTTTGAAAAGAATCTCATGTACTTCGTCATGCCCTTGTCTTTACCAAGAAAATCATCCCGATGCAAAAGTACCTTGATATTCTTGCCAGGCTCGTTCTCAACCAGTTGTCTGCCTATGTCTTTGCACTTGGAATTTTTAGGCATTTTTCCACAGGCCTCACACTCCCATTTTCTATTGGCACTGGAAGCGTACAAAGGGCCCGGGGTCGCATGAGTCACCCTCGTGGTCGTTACGAAACCTGACGCGCGATATGAATACATAAAAGAGCGAGCGAAAATTAGGGTAAAAACTTATCGACCGAGTGAAGCCGTTGTTTACCAACATACCGGTACTTTTGCCGGCGGCTTGCGCCCAGCTGATGATCGAATCGACCCGATTGTCGGCAACCAAGCTCGCGTTGCAGTCGTCGAGCTTGACGTTTCCATCGACACCGATGAGGTTGTAATTGGTTTTCACGCCGCCAAACAGTGCGGTGGCCGTCGATGCAGAGTCCGGTGCTTGCTTGTCGTTGTTGTAAGTCTGAGGAAAGCAAAGTTTCGCGGTTTCTGCTTGATTACATCGCTTCGATGAAAATGTCATGAGCACACGGGTTTGGGTGGAATTATTTTGTAAGTACCTTGAGCAAACCGATGTGTGGAAAGCGTTCCCAGGACAGGTAACTGTTCTCGCCGGCTCGATAGATTCTGCTGGCTGTGATCGTGTCCGGGCTCATTCCATCGCCAACGAAGACGATGACGTTTTTCGCCGTGTTTGTATTCCACGTGTATTTGAGAGCATCTTTGAGCTCACGATCTCCCACCTCGCGCCAATACTTCTTGTCTGATTTTGACCATTATGCAATATTTCGTCACTTACGTAATTTTTTGTTGTCGATTTGAATATATGCATATTAAATAGCACTTACCTTCGTTGGTATCGCCGCGAATGTACGCGACGATAAAACAGAGCAGCAGCAACAACTTCAAAGTTGCCATAATATCGTCTAGATCGCGAGCGAGACGAGCTACAAAGTTTCGATATTGCCGAGGCACTGCGATAAATGCCAGCGGTGCGTTAGTTTTTTTTTCAAACGCGCAGTAGCTTATCTCGTGTCATTAACGATGAGGCTACAATTTTTTCTCTTCGTTTTTTCTGTAATGTCATTCGGCGATGTTCAGCACTACCTCATTTGTTGTGATTATCGCACTTCTACACGCACAATATAGATATTCTACTGCTGTGTACAATGTGCTCTACTGTGCACGCGCCGTGTGCTCCGATGAGTGCCGCCATCTGAGAGCACGCGATGTTGGGCAATAGCAAACGAAGGACGTCAATTACGATTGACAAATTGTTGCCTTTTACGACAAAGTATCTAATTTTGTCAGATTATCTTTGATCAATTGAAAATTTACCAAATGAAACTAATAAACATTGTATATTTTCAGGTCGATAAGGAAGGTACTACTCGTACCTATGTAAAAACTATACTCAATTGTCAAATTTAATTTACACCTTTTATACGATGGTCAAATGCACTTTTAAATCATCGTTTTTTAATTAATTCGATTTATTTACTGAACATATAGAAATTTATTTAATTAAAAATAACAACTATTTTTTATTTTCAATCAATTCTCTATAAAGGTTCAATTGTAGATACTATAAAGAACCGAATTTACTAATAAAAAAGATTTGAACTTTGATTTTTACTAATAAAAAAACGTGAGTTAAAGTTTATAAAAATATTTTCCTCGAGAATTCACGCGAAATGCAGTAAAGCATTAGCGGGCGACTATTAAGTTTTTACCGCGTTTGTCTCTTATTTTCTGTATGGCCTTTAAAGGTATTTGGTCAAGTGAATTTGTGGCACTCCTTCGATAGGAAGGGGTAAGAGAATGATTCATTACGAGGGTTGATAACTGTAAAACCACAAATAACGTGGAAATACATTTCAAGATATTGATTTATTAACAAAAACTTGCTATGATATAGTTCCGTAGCAAGGGTAGTAAAAAATTGAACGTCGAAGATTAGTGAGATCGAATCTTGGTCGAGTTTCAGTTTATGTATACACAATCAATCGGGGAATGCATAGACGAAATCTAACTTCTGGACGCTGACCCCGCAACAACGACGTCGACGACCTATGTCGGCGACACTGACCTATATCCAGAAGTACACCACCCATACCTATATATAACACTGTGTATATACATGTAGAAACGTACAGATACATATATACAGGCGTATAAGCCAATGGTACTGAAAGCTAAATGTTAAGTGAGAACATTTCTGGAACAGGCCAGTGTGTGTGCAGTGCTATACCTTGCGAATGGACATGGTTGCACACTGCTTCTAGCGGCTATGTGTACACACACGGACACACACTTGCACACACCTCTAGAAGAGGGATGAGAAGCATGTGAACCAGTATGCAAATTAAACGCTCGAGCGTGCGGCCAGACACGACGTAGCTGCAGAGTACACGCGTACGTAACATAGCCCAACAGCTGTTGTGATTTTTCGATTGCGTGCCAAAATGCGAGGGCAACAACGCGGCCACTACGTGTGTCGTATTTTTTTCCCTTCGTTGCACGACCCTCCTCCACGAGCGAGCAAGCAGCGGGAATTAATGGCTTGTTTGAGCAGAAATTTAAACCTCGGCGCACGCAAAAACACATTAAAAATAGTTCGGCCAACGAGAGGAATGTTTTACGACGAAAGAAAGTTTAAAAGTGGGTTTTATAATGACCATAAATGAGTTGATAAATCGCCATCCGAGTTTTTGAACGCGCCACGCCGTAACTTTGTAAAAGTAACAAAAGAAGCTCGAGCGAAGGGCTTAGAGAGAGAAAGAGATGAGGAGAGATCTCTCACTGTAAGGCGCGGGGCAAATAATAAAGAAGACTTTTTAATTGTGCCGTAAATTCAAGAGGGCACGAGTCTTTGTTTTCGCGAACGACTGAAAAGCAAACGCTCAAAAGCTAACTTTTTCATTCTGGAAATCGCGCAAGTTTTCAAAGTTATATTCACGTCGAACCCGTTGATGCGTTATTTTACACCAAAATATTTTATTACAGCCTATTGATTTACAGTCTGGATTGTTCATTAGGCTGACTAAACTTCAACTATGTCGTGGTAGTAGTCCTTAACCCTCTTAGGTTGCCTCCGCGGGTAATGAACTCTAAGCTTTCGCTTATCACTGAATGTGCATTACATCCTTATCTGCCTTGAAAAGCTTAAGGTTACTATCTATCGTCCATCGTCACACGAATTGAAAAAACACCGAATTTACGTTCAACTACAAAAAATTAGAAGCTACCTCAAAGAAAATAACTTTCTTGTCGTAAATGGAGAAAACGATATTTGCCTTGAAATAACAAATTTGAACTAAAACGTTATACGATAGAAACAATATTGTTGTAGATGTAAGAAGCTCAAATTTTAATTCAGTTTGTCGAAGATTAAATCGAGGGTCATTCTAGTATCGATTGAAATTTTCGATACAACCGGTCTATTTGGTCATGTTTAACCCCGTACAAAATTATATCATTCAAGATCAGAATTTTTTTCATTTTTAACAAGTTGCATAGTACAACCAACTAACGAGTAATTGGGAGGGCAAGTTTTAAGCCTGGTCGTAGATATTTTTGTTGCTCTCGGTAATGTTCCGAGCTTTCGGGAATTAAGTGAGAAAATTTAATGCCATTTTACGAGCTATGTCGTTGGCCAAAATGCAATGCAATAATGTACTTTTTGTACGTCTCCTTTTATTTTCTTCATCTTTTCCATCGACGTCACTTGCAGCCATTATTCTTTCTGTCTTTTTTAAGGCCCAGCAGCGATTACAACGACTTACAGGGTCTCTCTTTAATGGAGAAAGTACGAGACAGTTGGCATGTGCCGCAATGCTCCCTAGTAACGACTTTGTGCGCATTTAAATGCGACGTGTATAAAGGTGCAGGGGAAAATAAAATCGCTTGCGGTGAAGTTGATTCTTATTTTACCGACCCAGGGGTGGAAGTTTTATTTCACGCCATCTATGGGTTCGGAAAAGAAATTTGATCATCTTGTGAGAAAGATAAAATTGTCTTATTCGATTCTCAATTCATCATAAAGAATATCTCATTTTAAAAATAACGAAAGAGTGAAATCATTCAAAAAGTTTATTTTCACGAATTTTCAGCTCAAAAAGCAAATGACAAATTCCGGAACTCCTCACTAAAGGAATAAAGAGGAAAAAGCGTGCAATGCACGTGAAAGCGCACAGACCGAAAATAGCCGAAAAAACAGAAGGCAAGCCAGCCACATTTCACCGTACATAATATTTGCTTTATCCCTCTCGCTTGTCAGTGGTCGGCATTTTCTATGCCACTTAACTTTTATGCAGCTCACGCTGAATACGCTCGTTCGTCCGAACTTTTTGCCCCGAGAAAATATTCCAAAAGCATTTTCCTAGCTTCGCTAGTCACGCCAGTGGCAGAGAGTAGTTAAAGCCACTCCTCCCTCTCACTCTCTCTCGCTCTTTCTCTCTTTTGGCATAAAAGTTTCACGAGCGAGTTCGTGTGTGTGTGTGTGTGTGTGTATATATCCAAGCGCATCTCGCCGTAGTCGTCGTCGTCGGCAGCGTCGCAGCTTTCTCTCTAAGCGCGGCTAATTCAAAATGGCGCCGCCACTTTGCTTTCAACCCCCTTATATCATTGAAGCCGGTATATACACGCAGTAGTGCTGCTGCTGTTGCTGCACGAGGGGTGGGACTTTCCTAGCAAAGGCAAAGTAGTATGGAGCTGAGAACGCCGCGCACACACTAGTTTCTCTCTCTCCCTTCATCTCAGAACTTCAAGCAGGGCCAAATTGAAATCCTGGCCTTTTCGAGAGAGATAGAGAGAGAGAGAGACTCGCGTAGCAGCAGCCGCTACCACGACAGCTTATCTGAGACTTTCAAGTATATAACGAGTCTGCGTGCATGTGTGATGGCTCGTGGGTGTGTGTAGACGTATACTATACCTACACTGCGGAGGAGGATGAGATACGAACGAAGCTTTAAGGGGGCTATATAATTTTCCCAGTGTATTATAACGCTCGATAGAGAAAGAGAGAAAATACCAACTAATGCCGACTTTGCGTCCAAGTACAGTCGGACAAAAATCCAGCTCGGATTTCGAAGACGTATCACGGCTTTCTTTGATTTCGTTAATGTAGCTCTGCGGATTAAAATTTCGGCACCCGTTTTAATTACGGGGAAATTCCACTTTTCGTTTCCACTCCTCTAGCAAAAGACACGCTTGTATTTATATATGAAAATTATCGATCGACCGAGCGTCTACATTATTGAAATTCCCATCTTCAATTTCAAAATTATATAATCTTGAGAAGATTACATAAAAGCAGCGATATAGGTACACTTCAACGGTAGCAGCATGTAAAGGAATGCAAAATTGGTTGGACACTGGCTAGGAGGGATTAGTTCATTCAAGAAATTTCAGCACATCTAGCTGAGATTTCTAGTAGTCTGGAGAGCTGGGCAGTGACTGCTGAAAGTGTGGCCAGGGTCGTGCGCATTCTGCCTCGAATACTTGCTGTATAGTTCGAAGCTAATTTTCAAATGATGTTCGAGTATCACTGCACTGATCACCAATGAAAGAATCACCACTTTTTTCTTGCACTGTTACTTGCAAGCACAACTTTTTAACTCTGAAAACCAGGAAGAAACTCGGATAAAATTCCTCTCGACGCCAAGCTTACGCCACGCACGAAGAGGGCGTGGATTTTTCCGCTGCTCGAGGCATACTGGCAGTCTCCACATTTTTCTCTGGCTCTTGCTAAACCCTTTTGTTCGCACAAACTCCCCGCGTCAGCAGCGGCAGAAACTCGTACGCACACGTTTTTACGATTCTGCGCGTCGCATATTTGCGTGAAAAAGGAAAAAAAAAAGCTCGAACGTGAACACGCCCACCATATTTTGGCGTCCAATTTCGCGAACGAAAATACAATTTATAATTGCATAGCACAGCTGCAACGCATGAAATATGCATCGGTAATTATAAGAATTGAATTCCTATATGGAATTTTCAAAATTTATCGCTGCGAGCACGCGATTTTCTACGATAATATAGCTGTTCGGAGTTCGGGCAAAATTTCAATTTATCAGGATTTCCATTCTTTGGACATTTCTGATTCGTATAATCGGATTGAAAGTTGGGTTCTACAGGTTATTATGACCCTTCTCTATTTGTCGTTGTCATGATAATGTAAAAATCAGGTTTTATCGCGCTCATAACTCAAAGCGACGCCAAAGTTTTATTGCGGATCGACTTTCTCGAAACGCGTCATCGGTGAATCCTTTTAAGGACGG